TGCCTGGGGGTGGGTGTGGGGTTGGGGGGAGTCCCATGGTCATCACTGAGGCTGCCCCACTGTCTGCCCAGAATTAGGGTCACTCAGAGAAGACTTAGGAATAATTTGAGCAGTATGTCTATGAAAAATGCTACTTGATTTCAAATTTTAAAAATGCCTACCCCAGGGCAGGGGGAGCGCTGCATTTTCTCGCTGGAGGGCTGGTGAGGAGTGGCCAGCCCGTGTCTGGTAGGCTGGACAATGACAACCACCTCGATCACTGAGACAACCTTTGCATATTGGAAGTGCCTTTAAATAAAATAATTCTGTCCAATGAGGTTTATAAATCATTAGTTTTTGCATGACATTTGGGCAAGTCTGTATCCTTTTATACTTACTACCTTGGAGCTCCCGCATTTCTGTATATTGAGTTCACTATGTCTGACCTGCCATCGAAACAATTGTATAATGTTTTATGCAGAGTTTTTGCTTACATGTAAACAGGTACCATAAGAACATAGATAAATGTGCAATGGTTCATTTTTTCAACAGAATTCTGAGGACAGCTTTGCATAATAGCCAGTTCCTGATTCTTGGGTATTGAACATTTTGTGCTCAGCCATTCCCTTTGCACATTTTGTTTATTAACTTGCCTGTTGTTGTTTTTTTTATGTCATTGGAAAAATGGAACCAAGTAATTGAATTAATAAACTTGCATCAAGGAAAGCAGGGTCTGTTGGCCAGCATGTATCTCAGCATTCTTCTGAAGTATCAGTGTTTCTTTACATTTTCATTTTTGCTTCCCTTCCCAAATAATGCCCACTCCTTTTCTACACTTGCTATAGTGATATTGACGTCAAACAGTAGAAACAATCTCAGAGTACATTTTCCCATAAATAAGGTAATTTCAGTCAGTACCTGGGGTAACAAACATTTACTTCAACACAGAAAAATTTGTATTAGATATAACGTGTCCTGGGTTGTGCCAGTTAATAGGAGAATATTGTTTGGGAATGGTCAAGGTTAAGGGGCTCATTCCTGCGTGTTAGTTTCTTAAAGGGCGGGAACTTGCTTGTCAGGGAAAGTCCTTAGGCCACAGGCTCAGGAAGGAGGCGCTGGGAAGATTGGAGGGCGCGTGTAACAGCTCAGGGTCATTCTCCACCCTGTGGCCAACAGGACTGGTTTATAGAGAACCTCTTCCTGGGGCAGAGTCTGGCTCCCTTAGCCATGCATATGGGTTCATGCGCAGTGCTTCTCACTTCTGCTGGACCAGCTGGTGATTTTTACTGATGGTCTTGTTTTAGCCAAACTCGGGCCCTGAATTGGTTTTGTCCGAAGATGAAAAAAGCGACACTGAAGATAAAGAGGAGGCAGAACTGGGCGTCATGGAGGATCAGCGCAGCGTAATTCTTCATCTCATCTCACAGCTCAAACTTGGGATGGATCTCACCAAGGTAGGCTGGCGTGTCCCCCTGGGTTTGTGGCCGGGTGTTTGGGTGCCACCTCTACCTTTCAGCCTTCCCGGCTCACAGTCTTTTCCTGTGGTGAGGCTGGGAAAGCAGAGTGGGGAAGAGCTCAGCGTTGCAGTCAAGTGTGGACATTCCAGGTATAATTGGAAAGGAGATTTATGCTCATCCTCAGGGCATGAGTCTTGCATTTGATCTCTGCAGGAGCTGTGACACTACACGGGCAGGGATGGCATCAGAAAAAGCATCTGAGATGATAAGGAAATTTCAAGATAGGATATTTTTGTTTTCTGCTGTGTCCTAGCGAAGGTGGAAGATGACCTATAGAGATAGGTAAGGCACAGTGGCCAGAGAGAGAAAGTAGGAGGAAGGAAAACAGTGGAGCAGGGAGCGAGGCCACTGCACACCTGGGCATGACCTGCCGCTGCAGTCACTGGCTTTCCCAGCTAGTCCCCCAAAGGCAGCCTTGTTGCTGATGCAGATCTCATTGTCCACGTGTAAAGAAACACACCTGTCGGTTGGTACACGTGCAACTAACTCTTCCTGGTGCTGTGCTCAACAAGGATCCTTGTTTTAAAATAAGGAAATCAGAACTGTGCATCTTATTATTTTATTAGGATTGGATTGCTTTGCATTTCTGGTCATGGTCTACTCCTCGAAGAGCCAACGTTGGGTTTATTTCAATAGTTGGCTGGCTGTGTGCAAGAAAAACATTTCTAGTCTATAGTTTTAAACTTATTTACCGGGAAGAAGCTGCTATTTAAAAAGCAGGGGGAGATTTGAGAGGCTGGAATACTTGTGAGAGGAAGAGGTAAGCCTTCTATCGTCGCCTAAGGCCTGTGGGCTTTTGTCACCCCGCATCATAAAAAGGTCAGTGAGATTCTGTCTTTCCTTATTGTCTTCTTTCCTCTTCTTGGCTCTTGCCCAGGTCTTTAAGTTAAGCGTGTGCTAAACTGGCAATTGAAGACCTGAGGCTGCGCGGAGTGCCTGGTGAGCAGGCCCCCAGAGAGAGAACATCCTTTGATTCGAGGATGGGGCTCCGGTGTGTGTGTGGAACAGGTGTGCTGCCCATGTTTGCGCAGGTCGCCCGTATCGATGCCTTCATGAGTCACCAGCCTAAGTGGGTCCCAGGGCTGCATTTCACCTTAGCTGATTAACTGTGGTCACCAGACAGGCCAGTTTCATGGGCATGTGACTAGAGGGGTCACCCAGCCCCGTGCTCACCAGCATCATGTGCTTGGTTCAGTGTCCTGTTGTCTCTGTCTTGAAATCCTTAATCATGTTGAACAAGAGAGCTTGGCTGTGCATTTTTCACTGGGCCCCATAAGTATGTAGCTGGCCCTGCCTCCCGAAACACCCTTGTCTGCCCTCTTTCCTTGGCTGTGGTTCCATAACCCCAAGTTGCTGGTGAAAACCTCCACTGGGTAACCGACTATGTTTCCACAAATTGTGGGTAGCGTAGGAAGGAAAAGGCGAGAGAAAGGAGGAACCACGGAGAGATGGAGGGCCACAAAAGGGCTGTTTGAGGAAGGGGCGTTTAGGTTGATCTTGAAGGATGAGTGGGCGTTAGTGGGAAGAGTGGGAGGAAAGGCCTTCCCAGCAGAGGGAACAGCATGAGCAGAGCCAGAGGGGAAGGCATGGTGGCTGGACTGAGCGTGTGCTGGTGAGTGGCGTGGTTGAACCTGGAGTGGGTAGAGGGGTCAGGTCCTGCAGAGCATTGTTAGCCATGTAAAGGAGAGTAAAATTGATCCTGTGGAGATGGGAAGGCCTTTGGAGGGCATGAAACAGGAGATGCGTTTCTCTTTAGGTAGTAAATATCTTCTTGGAAAAAGTAAAATTTTATTTCAAACTCTTTCCATCTAACAAAAATTTTAATAGATGCCCTTTGTGATGCTCTGAGCATGAGGAGATGAGTGTGAAGGGAGCTGGCACTTGAAGGAAACCCAGGGGAGCCACCTGTTGGCTAAGTAAAGAAACCTTTGGCAGTGTGAATTACCTACCCTTTATTTTGTCAGGTGGGTATTATTTCCCCCGTTTCCTTAAAGGATTGCACAGATCAATCTTAGCAGGTGGTCTTGGCCTCTCTTGGTTTGCTCATTTGCACTGGATAGGTTTGCCAGTCTAAGGACAGAGTACAGTGTTATGCAGATAATTCTTAAGGTTAAGTTAACTGATGTTTCTTTGGAGAAAACTGCATCATGTCTGGGCCTCCCTTTGCAGACGCCTCTGGTGTTCCCTGTTGGGAGAGGGGAAGGGACTGTCCCTCTTTCTGGGAGCCCCTTGACTTTCTTGATGGGCGATCGATTATTTCAAAGTTTTAAGGGCCCAGCCTGAAGATTAGTTATTTACTTCTAGATTGATGCCGCTGTAAATGTAATTAATTGTTCTCTGAGTCCCGAGTGCAGATCTTTTTTTTTCCCTTTCCCCAAAGTAGTTCATTGTCTTAATTATGTTAATGGGAGAAAAGGCAGCCCTTATTGATGGCTCCATAAATCTGCAGCAGTGATTCCAGCCATTTGGATGCCATCATCTCTACAGCTGGGCCATCACTCACCTCTCTGTAGGAGGCAGACAGCCCAATTAGTACTCACCCATTCCTGGCTGTATCTCTGGTGCCCCCCACCCAAGAAACAGATGATTAAATGACTTACTTGCAAAAGCACCAAAAAAAAAAGAAAAAAAGGCAGGAAGATAGTATGAGAGAGAGAAATCTGCTTTAATGGAATGTGTGACATCCTGTCCAGACTGTTCAAGGGGCTGGTTTTGAAAGGTATCTGTCTGGTGTTCTGCACAAACACTGTCAAAACGTACCAATAAGAGTTGAGCGTTGACCTATGAACCAGGAGGTCACGATTCAGTTCCCCGTCAGGGGTTGTGGGCTCGATTCTCAGTAGGAGGCAGCCGATCAATGACCCTCTTTCATCATCGATGTTTCTATCTCTCTCTCTCCATCTCCCTTCCTATCTCTGAAATCAATACAAACATATTTTAAAAAAACATTCCAAGAAGAGAGGAAAGGGGAAATAGTCTTCCACTGCCGACCCGTCTGCTCCATTGCCCCAGGTATTCTGCTTTTCCCATCTCAGACAAAGCCAGATGGCCACTGTCAAGTGCAGAATGCGGATCTAGTGGGTTGGGCTTGGCGTTGGCTGTGAGGCCATACTCCCTGAGTCTGTAATTTCGGGAGGGTTGTCTTGGAAAATTGATAGGTTCTCAGCTGCTTCATCTCTAGTAGAGTCTTTTTTCTTTCTCCTCCAAGTTTTTACCTTGCACATTTCCTAATCTACAGTAGAGTTGCAAGAATAGTACCGTGAACTTCCATCTATCACCTTTATTGGCCAGTTAACATTTTGCCACTCAGCGTTGCTTCTCCCTTCTTTCCTGTCTCCTTCTCTGTTGCCTCTTTGCATTTCTCTCTCCCTCGCCCTCTGCAACCCCACATGCACACTTGCATATCTGTGTGTATGTGTATTTTTTGATGAACCATTTTGGAGTGTGTTGTATCTTCGAACAAGAGGACATTTCTCTTACACTACATTTGTCACACTTGGGAAATTTACCATTGATGTAAAACTATTCCATATATGGCCCATTGTAAAAGTTCCCCCAATTGTCCCCGTACTCTTTACAGCTTTAGTAGGAGAAAAAGAGCACTGTGGGTGCTGTGATGGAGGTGAGTGTGGGGTGCAGTTAAGACATGAAGGACGAGGTCATGGGTTTAGTCTTGGGAGCAGGAGCTGTTGGAAGAAGCTCCATAGAGGAGGTTACCCTTGAGCTCAGTAGCTGTGTGTCGTTTAGACAAGGCAGGGGAGGGGCAGAAAGGGGAAACAGGAGGAATGTATCGGGGAAGGGGGGCTTGTGAGGGGAGGGGTGGGGGCCCAAAGTTGGGGGTAATGTGGACAAGAGGAAGTTGGGGGGCCAGATTCAACTCTGTCTCTTGTGGAGATTTAGAAAGAATCTGGCTGAGTGTGGAGAGGGAAGGGTAGGCAGGACAGAGCTGGAAGGCCGGCTAGGACGCTACGGCTGTGCTTTTCCAGGGGGACCGCCATGTGTGTCCTTTTGGTTCTGATGTTCAGTGATTTGGGGTTCTCAGTGGAGTTCTTTTTCCTATTTTGTTTTAATCCTTCAGCTTCTGAGTTCAGAAATGCTGACTAAGGGAAATGCTATAAATTCTTGCCCTTTTCAAAAGTACGTAATGGGTAAGTATTGTAGTTGTTCTCTCCTTGTCATTTCAGTCTTGGGTACACCACATGAGAATTCTTGTTGCCCGGGGGTGGAATTGTCTCCAGGGCAGCCCCATCGCCATAGGATGGGGAGAGGATGCATGTCAAGGTCATGGGGTGACCTTCGCTCAGAGTTGTGTGTGTCAGGGCTAACCACCCTCCACGCAACTCTGCCTGCTCCCTCCCCTGGCTTGCCTTCCGAGCAGAGAGTCCCCTGGGCCCCAGAAGGGACAGGGTTCAGGACGTAGAGTGGCTTGGGGACAGTCTGGCGATGTGGACATCTGTGGCCTCTTTTTCTTTCTAATGATTTAGCCTCATTGAGGGGGTTTCCCAGGCTACCTAAGTGCACAGTCCCTAACCTGCACAGCCCGTCTCGGGGAGTTCCCAGGTGAGACCTGGAGTGGCTCTGGGGGCAGGCAAAAGAGATGGTGGGTGTTTTGCCTCTCTTCTTTTTTTT